TCTCGCGTCGCTCGAGGCTCGAGGAGGCTGGGAAGAGTCCTCTCCACTGGCTATCGAACAGCGTCTAACCGTGCTGGCTCATTCGATTGTTAGTCGGAAAAGTCACTCTGCAGTGGTAACCGGATAAAAGAAATTGTTACTCGGAACCGTACGAGCAAACCGAAGCGGGAAGTAATAGGAAAAGGTTAAAGGGCGGAGCGAGAACTGTTAGGTGTCAACAACCCTCTATAGGGCAGTAAAGATGCCACGAAACTCATGCCATGAAAATAACGCGATTTACAAGCAGCGTCGGACTGGAACTGTTAATTCTCGTGCTTCTCGCTTTTCGGAGGATGTCAGGATCGATTTACGCGCGGAGAATTACGCTGGTGTAACGTTAGTTTCTCTTAACGCCGGCGTTGGACTTAGAAAATTTAGTCCAGGGTTGTTCGGGCGCGGGGTTCGTCCACGAGGAGGAGAAATTTACGGGAAACAAGGGGCTGAGGAGGATTCCGTGAGCACTTTCGGACACCTCGTCGCGCGGAAAGAACACGGCGGGGTGCTCGAGACACGCTCGAGTAGCGTAGAAAGCGATACCCTTAAGGGTGCGAACCGCCAAGTGTGTTCCTCGGGCCGCAAGGCCACGCGAGTTTGTTATAGCCGGTCTCTCGGCGAGCCAAGGCTGTAATAGGCTGCGGCGCGATGCTTCGAGGATCACTCGTCCGTTTCGAGACCGGTCGCTAGAGCCTTCTTTCGTGACCTAGAACCGTCTCCGATCAGATTACCTAACGTAACCTCGATCTTAATTGCGCAATCGAAAATATTTGGTAAACATTTCTCGGCTATGCGCCGCTCAAGATGGAGGATAGAGGCTTCTCCGCTGAACAGCTCTGCTGTCTTTTGTCGTAGCAAAGGTTTTCTCAAACGTTCACCCTTCGCGGACGAGAATCTCTCATGGAAACTTGTCGACGAGACAGCTGGATCGCGTGGAAAAGTTTCAGACCTTTCGGACGCTGCGAATAATGGAAACTATAGATCGTTGTGCAATAAATCGAGAAGACGTTCGTTCTCACAGGCTAAACGCTGTAATCTCCGCTGTTGATTTCGAATCATCGACGGAAGACAGTGAAGTCGAATAGTTTTCCCCTCGGATGCTGCGTTATCAAGGGACACGGGAACTTCCGCGATCGTCGCAAGAAATCAACAGGAGAACGGCAACGGAACGCTAACAAACTGCTAGAACCCGTGGCAAAAGTGCCGACCTTCGAACCCCAGTAATTCCGCAACAAACAATCGCACAGCCCTCTTCCTACACTCTCCGCAAAGCCCGAAGATCCGACTTCCGCCCCGCGCGACCCGTCTCATCGTGCGACAAGCTTCTCCTGCGCAGCAGTTGCAAAACCGACGGCAAGTTCGCACCCCAACATGTCAAAAGACACGCTAACCCTTGTCATCCCTTAGTGTCCCATAGGATTTTCAACGGTTCGAAACCATCCATCGAATGATCGAATCCCGACGCGATAACAACGGACGTTAACCCTTTCCCAAGTCCAGAACAAATTATACACGCTTGCATCCCTTTCCATCGGATAAAAGCCGAATAGACTTGTACAACAGCCCGAGACTGTTAACCCTTTTCACTCGAGAGGTGACTCTCAGTCACCGCTCGATGATTCGATACAACAAAACTATCAAGTTGAATATTTACTATTTTAAATGAAACTACCGCTATGCGAAACATTGAAATAAAATAGCTTAGTCGCTTAATTTATCCGCGAATCATCGTCGAATTAGTTTCAAACATCGTGTCTACATCTCGTCGGGAAACGGATATTTCTAACGAAAAACCTTCGACTGCAAATGGTTCACGCTGTCCGCCGAGAAATTCGTGAACCTAGGAACTCCGTGAAATTCCTAAATTACCCGGAGACTCATAGAATATAAATACAAGTCGAAACGTGGAATTTATGCGCGGCCCGTGACAACCCTTCGAAGCCTGGGGTAGCTGGAACGTCGCACACCTCCGCTCTAGAATCGGGCAACGTTGGTGTTCTTGGAACACCCTGTACAAGCGAACGTTTGTTCAATTCCCAGCTCCCGGCGGCGGAGCGGGGGTGGGGATGGGGGATGAAAGCGGCGGAGAATTGTGAAATGCTTGGCCCGCATTCGCGGTAGTTCCAGCCGTCCATTGTCCGCCCGCACAATGGGGGAATCTTTCTGGCGGCGCTTGTTGCTCCGATGCTGGGGCTGACTAAACTTTGCCCGGCGACCACGTGCGCGTCCTGCACACCCCGCAATTTCGCGCACAAACGGCCACGCACACAGCCCCGGAACCGGCTGCGGCGGCGGGGGACGGCCGCGGGGCTGTTTAAAGGGGAGCAGGTATACGCGGACAGACGTGTCAGCCGGTGTCCGTACAAGCACATCGGGATTCGTCTCGGGATAGGTCAATCAATGACCTATTTAAACCGCCTTCGGAGCAACCCCCTCGCCGCCTCCCTGCCTCCTCCTCCCCCGGCTGACTAGTCGCGCCGAGGGATTTTCGAAGTTCGCCCGAGACTCGGCCGTTTCACTGGCGCGCTCGTCGTGTTTTTTCCCTTTTTGCCGAACCACCGACCGGTTCAACCCTTTGCGGACGAACGTCGACATTTTCAGATGAAACGTTCGCATTCGGAATGCCAAGTTGCGAGAGATCAGTGTACGGTTTTGCCTTTTCTCTATTCCGCGTAGTCGAATAAGCGGTTAACGAAGCGGAAATGAAAAGAGATGCTCCGTGAGGATTGCTCTGGTATTTCTCTTGTGTCTGGTGTATTCAACGGTGCGCTCGATACGTTGTCGATGAATGTTTAAATTTATATAGAAACCGGTGCCACCCGTATTTGACTGACGCGGCGGTCAGTGTTCGTCCGTGAAGGGTTAACATTCTATTATCGCAGCGGCAGTAGTTTCGTTCGAGGCGCGAGGCTTGGCAGTAGGAAAGTAATGTTTCGAATAACCGAGAATGGACGTTCGTGTCGGCGAATATTCAACGCGAGAAATCCAAAGAACGTTGTCTCTCTAATGAATTAAGCACGCGCAAGCTGGATGACGGATCATTGTCGACGTCGGTGTAAACCAGTCTCGCTGGCCAATTTACATTTTCATTTGCTCTGTCGGTGGAACGTGGCCGGGGGAAATTGTTAACGGTAACAACGCGGTTATATTAACGCGCGACAACTAACGCGCGATATTAATCTGTCCGTCGTTGTCAACTTCGCGAACGGATAAGAGAAGGTTCCCCGTGTCGGACCGCTGGAAAAATACTTGCACAAATCCGGAACGCGTCGATATTTTCGTGCCCGAAAGAATCGAGAACAGCCTTGGGATCGCGGTTGATGCGCACACGTGAAGAAACCGACTCGCCGTTGAGAAAATCCACGACGAATCGACGAGAATTAACGAACGAACGCGAGCCTTACGAGAAACACCGTCGGAGAACGAAGAAAGGAAGAAAAATCGAATCCCGTCGGCGAGCATCGCGGGAAGCGGAAGCTTCCCCGACGTTAATGCCACGGGAAACTCGGCGAATTTTACGGCCGCCATTAAAGAATGAAAAATTTACATGAAAACCCTCCGAGACCCGGGAGCCGTTGAAAAATTGGCCGGCGTGCCGGGGAACGGCCACGTCGCTAATTATTAACCGGTCGACCGTGGGATTCAGTTTCGAGAATCCTTCGTGGCTGAGAGAATCAAGCGACGAGTATATACGTCGAGATAAACGTGCCTGGCATGTAGTAAACTAAAGAACCCAAGCAAAACGAAGCGTGCTCGAAAAAGGAGACTAACCCCGTTGGAAAGTACTATTTTCGGTTTCGAGACGAGTATACTCGTCGAGCCTGGAGACCTTCGCACTCTATCCGATCCGACGAGTCTCCTAACACTAGAAACCGATCGACCTATAATCCCACGTCCCGTACCCCGCAACAACATCAATTTCGTTCGCCCGGTACGAAGTGCACCGTTCCGAGCGTCACAAGGAACTTATCAAACGCACGCGAGAGGAACAAAGGTGGAACAAAAGCGAGGAACAAGAGCATCGTCAACAACATCACCGTTCCCGAGCAGCGGGCCCGTCGTTCCAAAAGGATATGGATTAGTGATGAGCGCCAGACACCAGTTGCGCGGTCGGGTGGTCTGGTCGAGGTATCGCAGCACGACCGGCATGAATCCAGGATATGGAAGCTCGTCTCCGTCCTCGTCGTCGTCGTCCTCGTCGTCCTCATCGTCTTCGTCATCCTCGTCATCCTCCTCGTCGTCCTCGTCATCCTCCTCGTCGTCCTCTTGATCGCGATCGGGGTCCTGTCCGGCATCGCGCAGGATGCGCCTGTCGGTCGATTGGCCGGCCCCGTCTTCGTCCTCGTCGTCCTCGAGTTCGCTGAGCTCGGCCACGTCGCTGTCGGAGCCTTGCTCGCCGTTCCCCGCGGCGGCGGGCTTGCTGGCCGAGCGGTACCGATACCCTTGCGGATAGTGGAGCGACATGGTTCCTCGAGGCGGTCCGGCGGCTGGTCAGTGGTCTGATGTGTGCTGGCTCGTCGGCGCGGGGTCCGACGTTCAACGGGAGGCGGTCCCGAGGCGGTCCTCGCTGGAAGAGTGCTGAAGGCTCGACGCGGTCGGTGTCCCGGCTGAAACCGCTGCTCCAAGCGATGACGGGGCCAGGCGCGGGGGTGC